ACCAGATGAGGTCATAAGTCACTCAGTCACTAAGACCAGGGTCTTCTTTTCCTTTCTGAGGGAGGAAGCATCTTGAGTATTTTCTGCCATGACCAAGAGCAGTTTTATAGTTAAGATGGAAGCCAAAAAAAAAAAAAAAAAGCATTTTGCCAACTGTTAACCAACTAGGCCCTCAGTCTAAGAAAGAACTGGCCCACCCCTTCACTTTAGAAAAGGGGAAGCTGAGGTCCAGAGACAGAAAAGTTCTTGCCCCAGGTCCAAGCCAGGATTAGAACCCGGGTCTCTGAACTACTAGTCCAAGGCATTCTCCACCACGGCTCTGCTTACTTACTATTTAAGGACCCAGCGCTAGAGAATGACTCAAACTCTCACGGATGCAGTGACCCAGTAGGACATCAAAAGACTGATAGGGAAGCCTGCCTCTCACAGAGGTGGTAAACTCCAGGTGCAGACTGAGGCATACATTTTCAGACACGGTCCATGTTCGGGGTTGAAGAATAAGGTGGGGGGGGCATCTCCAGACTTATTTATTATAGAGAAAGGTTGTTAGGTGAGAGGGGTTATTGGGATGGGGAGAATAATTTTTTTTAAAGAGCTTCAATAAAAATATTTTAAAATTTTAAAAGAGAAAGAATAATTAAGAGAAACCCAGTCAGAAGGCTACGGCTGAGCAACCAGATTTGTAGCCTGAACTCCACAGAAAAACCTCCACAGGAAAACAAGGAGAAATCAGTTCTTGCAGACACAGACATTTTTCCTATAGTTCAGTTTAAATACCTACCTTTGTGACGCTCAAACACACAGCTTTCTCTGACCTAAGCTCTATCAGCCCGGATCTCCCACTCACACCTGTAGGGGCCGAGGAGGCCAGTGGGAGAAAGCCTATAGACCCAATGAACTGGAGACAGCAGTGGAAAGAGGCCAGGCCCATAGCCCAAGGTTAGCCTGTTTACAGAAAGACTCTTGGCAAGATACAACCCACAGGGTGTCCCTCTGCCTTTCCTCCAAAGGGCCTTGAATGGATACATATTTGCTCTATAATACTCCTCTGTTTCTTCCCTACATCAGCAGGTTAGCTGTTCGAACAAAGGGAAGCCTGGGATATACCATACAGCCCGATGAATTAAGAGTCAGTCAAGAGATCTGTGAATAAGGGGCCTTGTGAGTGACAGAGATGTTTAGATATTGTAGAGAGAGCTTGGGAGGGAGAGGAGGGGAGGAGGGGAGGGAAGAGGGACAGGGAAAGTCTGAGGGGCAGGGAGAAGGGGAAGGGGAGGAAGAGGGAAAGGGGGAGGAGGGGAGAAAGGGGAGGGGAGAGAAAGGGGAGGGGGGGAGAGGGACAGGGAGAAGGGGAGGAGGGAGAGAGGTAGAGAGAATATGAAGGTACACAAGGGGTCAGGGCATGAGCAGAGAGACAGCACAAAACTGTTTATGCAGCTTTGCCGGGGGAAAGCAGGCCAACAGGAGAGGGAGAGAGTGCTTAGGCTCAGATTTTAGAGGGAGTGTAAGACTCTGGCAGCTTCTGACCTGGGCTCATTCAGGGAGGGGAGGAGGGAGGTAGCGTGGGTCCAATGGTCAATGCTTCCTGCTTGCTGCAGGCGCTATCTCAGGAGTAAACCAGCTGTGCCTCCTTATATGCTGTGGGAAGGATGCGTCAGGTAAGTGGGGATGAAGGTACTGCATGGCTCCCCGCCAGATTCTCAAACCCTGGGGTTTAGTTGGATGCATTAATGCAAACGGGATGGTGGCAGAGGAGATGGGGATCACGGGGCACACCAGTGGGATGAGTCAGCACTGGGGCCAAGCTGTGGCTCCAGCCCTGAGTGAACCATGTGTCACCCTTCTTGGGCTAGACTATTGCTGGAAAGTTCTACCTTCCCTGAAAGCCAACCCCACTCCTGGCCCTGTCCAGGCAAGGTGTCCCAGAAGAAAAGCCCGTCTACCTCCCAAAACAGGACTGACTCTTTCAGGACCCTAAAGTCCCTCCGTGGTGAATGCCTCATCATGGCATGGCAGCCCAGCCCTTCAATCCTACACCAACAGCCTGAAAGCTCTGCTGGGGCCTACATCAAGCTGAAAAGGCTTCAGGAGGGAAGTAGGGGCAGTGGGGGTATTGATCTTGGGAGGATCCAGCAGCCACTGGAGCCATGAACTAGCTCATGTAAACTCTTAAAGAGTAGGGACAGTTTGGGTTGGGTGAGTGTGTACCCAGCTCCCAGCCTGGTGTTAGGCCTATCCCAGGTGCCTGATAAATAAACATGCATTGAACTGAGTACTCATTTAACAGAAGGGGAAACAGGCTCACAGTGGCTCAAGGGGTTTTGCCAAATGCACACAACAAATAAGGCCATCTTCTAAGGCTCAGGACTGCTTGCTTCATCTCATCTCTTCCACTTATTACCTTCCCCTCTGGGGGCCTCAGTTTCCCCACCTGTAAAATAAGGGTGGTGCACCAGACAGCCTTTGAGCTTTCACACAGTCCTCTACATATGAGCCTATGATGCCATGGGTGGAACAGATGCCCAGCCAAGGTCCTCCAGGATAGGGCAGCTTTCTTCTCTCTAACCACTAGGAGAAGCAGCTGGGGACCCAGAACCTGCCCAGAGAGAGTCCCCAATACAACAATGTTCATCTCTCAAAGATGTCACTTCCACACATGCACTGAATTACTACAAATGCCTGTCAAGCCTTCTATCATTCAGGCACCTCTTCTCCACCTTCATCTTTTCTTTCCTTTTAAAAGACGGCAAGGCAGCCTTTTATCTGATGTTACTCCCCAACCCCCACCCCCCCATCTCCACCTCCTTGGAATTAACTAACACCATGAGGGGAAAGAAAAACAACAACAAAAAAAAACAATCAAGGAAGAAATGACAGCCTATTCCATAGAGTGGCAGTTGTCTCTAAAGTGATCTAGGCCGGCTGCATGGTATGGGGGAAAAATATGGGGCCTGGACCCCTACAGGCCTGGGTTCAAATCATAGATTAGATTTAGAACTAAAAGAGGTCTCAGAAACCATCTAGCCCAACCCCCTAAGTTGAGGGAAACGGGCCTAGAGAGGTGTCAAGTGTCTCAACCGTGGCCACATAGGTAGCGAGCGGCAAGGATTCAAACTCAGGTCCTGTGACTCTGACTGAAGCATCTCTAGTACAGCTCAACTGTGTGACCTTGGGCAAGTCACTTAACTTCCCTCAGCCTCAGTTTCCTCTTCTGTAAAAGGGGGGCAATTATACCTGAAGCACCTGCCTGACAAGGTTGTTGTGTTTCAAGACAGATTAAGAATGTAAAAGAAACATATAATATAAATCACAGGCATAACATTTGTTGCTGTTCAGTCACATCCAAATCTTCATGACCCCATTGGGGATTTTCTTGGGAGAGGCGCTGGGATGGTTTGCCATTTCCTTCTCCAGCTCATTTGACAGATGAGGAAACTGAGGCAAACAGGGTGAAGTGACTTGCCCAAGGTCACACAGCTAGTAAGTATCTGAGGAGCCATTTGAACTCAGGAAGATGAGTCTTCCTGACTTCAGGCTCAACACTCTAGGCACTATGGCGCCACCTAGCTGTCCATAACAGTGGTAGAGATTCAGTAAATCAAGGTGGGAGTTGGGGGTGGGAGTGTGAAGGGAGAAAGAACTAAATTTATAAAACAACAACAATAAAAAAATCAACCGACTTTGCCAGCCCTGGTAGGTCACGTTTATGAGTCATGTCTCTGTGCAAGACAATACAGATTTCAATCCTCTATTAGCAAGTAAACAAAATTAGGGCAGATTTGTTTATCTATCATAAAGCAAGTTGGTTTCAGGTGGGGGTAAGAGGAGGAACGTGGGGTATTCTGTTTGAAGAATGGATTACTGATTCAGAGCCGAAAAGGAACTCAGAGGCTATCTGTCCAACCCTCCTGTTTTACAGATAAGAGAACTGAGACCCAGAAAGACTAACTTGTCCAGGGCCACACACAGCTAGTATTGGAGGCAGTATTTGAAACCAGGTCTTCGGCTTTCTATCTAATACCCTATCCATTATTCCACTCTGCCTCCGAAATAACCTGCAGGCTCCAAAAGCGGACCTAAAAGGTTAGGGGGTTAGGTAAAGCAGGAAAACCTCAAATGTCATCTTGGGTTCACCACCACCATCGCCACCTTTCTGGCACCAAATGATGCTTGCAGTCTCCCCAAGGGAACCAGTCCAGGAAGAAAGCACCATGCTTCATTATACCAATAACATTCCCAGATTTCCGTAACACCCTGCCTCTGTATTATCGATTCTCCTAGCCTGCATCACACGCAATCATGTATAATTATTCTAACACTCAACAATAGTTAGCCAGAAAGCCTTACGTGCATTCCTCAGCGGTGGGTCACTGATTTGTTGCAAGCATTTCGAGCAAAGCATCACCACCACCCCCTAAAAAATGCATAGGTTTTATTTGTGCGTACTAAGTCTTAATCCAACCCCAGAGGGATTTTCAGAAGTGATGAGACTTTAAGATGCAAGGTAGGGAGGAACCAGGCAACTGGAGCCTCCAAATCAAAACAAATGGAAGCAGGTTCCTAGCAAGGAAACCCAGATCCTAACCTGATCGACAACTAGCTCCAGGGTGGGAGAGGGGGGAGGGGAGGAGTTACTGAAAGGAGAGAGAAGGGAGGCCCCGTAAGGAAGAAAATTTGGTCACTGGGGAGGAAGAGGAGGAGAAAGAAAGTGGCGGGGTTAGGTGGGAAGAACAGAGGTTAGGGAGGCTGCAACGAAGGGGGAGGGGGGGCAAGGAAAGAGTAAATAAATAGAGGGCGCGGGGAACTGCTTTAAAGGGTCAAGGGAGGTAGGGCAGGAAAGGGGAAGTTTGGACGAAGAAAAAGAGGAGGCAGGATATTGCCCAAGCTAATAGAGAGAGGACAGGGCCGGGGCGGTTGGGGGCGGGGGGGGGGGGGGGGGGGCAGGGGGGGGGGCGGGGGCCAGGGTTTTGCCGTTGGGGTTTTTTTGTTTCTGTTTTTACCTCTTTGATTTTCTCCCTCTGGGCCAGGCTTTTGGCATCCGAGTTGCCCCTGGTCCCCAGCACCGGGTGCCGGAGGCGGCTTCTGAACTCCTCGAAGACCAGGGTGGGCAAAGGGCGCGACTTGGGGGCTCTGGGAAGCCCAGTGGCTGCTCCCGGAGTCTGTTGGCCTCGGGTGGCCCCAGCCTCCTCCCAGGGAGTGGTGGGGCCGCCTGGGGGGTGTCGCCCCCCTCGGCCAGGCCCGACGAGTGCCCCAGGGGCCGGGGCTGGGTTGGGAGGTGGCTCCTGCCCCCGGGCTTGGGTTTGGTCCCCAGGCTCAGGCTCCCCAGCCCCCTGGACAGTGGCGAGACGCTGGGGCCGGAGAGGCAGGAAAAGTCTTCTGAAACGATATGAGCTGGGCAGTAGGAAGAGGGCCCCGAAGCACAGGGTGATGAGGCCCGAGAGGAAGAGCAAGAAAAGGAACTTGTGTGACAGGCGCACCCCGAAGACCGAGGCTGGGGCAAAGCCGGGCGTCTTCCTCATCAACATCTTCGGCCGGAGCCTCCCGCCGTAGCGGGGCGAGGCCCGCGCTGGCGGAGAGTCTTGAGTCCCGGGCGAAAAGGCTGCGACCACTTCACTGGGGGTGTCCTGGGCCCTGGCTGCCCTGTCCCCCAGGCTGTCCAGGCTCAGATCCTCAACACAAGCAGCAACTCGGGGCGGGGGGGGGCGTCCTCACGGGAGAGATGAGCCTCCCTGAGCGAAGGAGGGACCCTCAAGCGTCGAGGGGCTGGGGGTTAGTCAAGGGCGCATGGGAGACAGGCGATTCAGAGGGAGTCCAAGAAAACTGGGTAGGGAGGGAGAGTGGGGGTAGATAGCGTGGAATTCCCCGGGGAGGTAGGAGCAGTTTGCCAAGGCTTCGCAGCTGCCCGACCCACTGGCCGCGGTCCCCGCTCGCCTCGCCGCGGAGTTACAAGTTGAGTCAGCTTCCAGCGAATCTCAGAGACATCCTGGGAGATGAGGGCGGGGGTGAAGGGGGAGAAGGGGGCCCGGCCGGGGGTGGCGGTGATGCGGCGTGGGCCGATCACTCCTCCCCTTCGGCAGCCCGGTAGGGTCGTTCAGCCTCGGGCCGGCGAGGCTGCCTTCTGCAAGACTTGGCCAGCGGACGCCAGTCCCCGGGGGAAGCGATTCCTGCGGCTGCTGCTGGAGAGGGCCGCTCGCTGCCGCATTTCTGCCGTCTAGACGCTCGCTCCGTCTGGTCCAACCTCGGCTCCCTGCCGCCCCCAGGAGGTGGGGGCTCTTTACTCCTCCGGACGTCCCTGGGGGTCCAGACTGCCCCCCTTCCTACCCTGCAATTGGCTCCCAGTTCCTTCACATCCTCTCAGACTCTTCCTGTCAACACTCACAGGAGGCAGGACATTTTCCTCGACGGAAAACCCAGACTCGGAATCGAAGGGACGCCGAGAGAAGAAAGGTTGGTAGGGGAGGGTCTCCTGGGGAGCAGCCGCCACCCCGGACCCCAAGGAAGGATCGCCTCGGGACTGGGAGCGGAAGGTGGGTAAAGACCACTCAGAGACGCCCAGAGAAGGGGAAAAACCTCTTGGCAAATACCCTCGGAGCCCTCCCAGCCCCCCCCCCAAAGTCCCCGCGGCACTAGACAGTTTCAAAAAGCAGCCTTCGGAAGAAACAGCTGTTTGCAGCTACAAGAACAACCCGCTGTCGGGGCGTTCCGGGACTGGATGGTAGCAGACCGGTCCCCCTCTCCCACCTCCGGCTGTTCGTCCTCTTGCTAGAACGGAGCCCCCCCTGCACGGACCGACGGACTGACGGACGGACGTCGTGGTCAGCGGCTTCCCGAAAGGATGAGCCCACAACTTTCCTTCTCTGCGAGCTGCCAGGGCACTTCGGGGGCTGCACCCCAGCCACCCGGGAGCCCCCAGCGCTTGGCCGGCTCCGGTCAGCGCGTCATGCACTGTGCAAGCCGAGGCCGGGCTGCTGCTGCTGTCGCGGCTGCATCGGGTACCCCGGGAGCCCGGGGTCTCCTCCGGGCCAACTCTGCAGGCTCGGGGCCGCCGCCTCTTGCTCCCGCTAGGAGCTACGGAGCAGGCAGCCGGAGCCGCGCCTCCGCCACTGCACCTGGTTTCATCGCACCTTCCCCCGCTCCAGATGCTGCCGCAGCGCTCCCTCCCTGCCGTCTCCAGCCGCCGCCGCCGCCGCCACCGTGCCTGCGCCTGCCAGCACACACACTCACACACAGCGGACGCCGCCGCCGCCGCCGCCGCCTCCCTCCACCACCGAGGCTCGCCTTTCACTGCGACAGCTCCAGACGGCCCCGCCTCCCGCCCGGGTCCCGCCTCCAAGCCCCGCCCCCCCGCGCCCCTCCCGCCCCGGCCCGCCTTCCCGGCCCGGCCCGAACGGCGCGAGGCCATTGGCCCAGACGCCTCGAGCCCCTCTGGGGAGCCGGGCCACGCCCCCCTGCTCCAATGGCCGGCGCCGCGCGTTCCTCCCGATGGTCGCACCCGCACAAAGCGGGAGGCAGAGGGAGAAAGGAAGGCGAACATTGGTTGCTTCGGAAGGATCCCCGTTGGGCCGCGGCCGTCCATTGGTTGCTTCCCAGCCGTGGTTGGACCCGTAGAGGCAGGACCGCACCCCCACCCCCAATCTGACCAGCGCCGGCTGGACCAGGCATCTCCAGTGGTTCACCCCATGCAAGGGGGACATGGGGCGGGGCTAGGCGCAAGGACTGAACCCATTGGCGGGTGACCTCCCCCACCCCTTCAATTCCTACCCTGGATTGGTGGAGAGCTGCATGCCCTGGGGGTCGGGCTAGATGGCCCCTTAGGTTTCTATAAAACGGATGGATGGGCAGACTGGTGCCCGGCCGGCGCCCAGTGGGATTGTGACGGAGCGGCCTGGGGCCAGAGTGCGGTGGTCTGGAGACTGGACGAGTTCCTCTGAGAGGCCACACCTCTCCCCACTCCTTGAACAGGCATCTTGTGCCCCTCGACAGCACAGCTGTCCAGCAGGAACCACACCACTAACCCTTCCTAGCCCCACGACGCACCCTGAGAGCCCGCCAGCACAGCTGTCTAGCTTCCACATTACTAACCCCTCCTACCTGACCCCGCCCCGTGCAAATGTACCCTGAGCCCCCGGCAGGCAACTGCCCAGCTTCCACACCACTAACCCCTCCTACCGTCACACCACTAACCCCTCCTACCGTCCGCCCACCATGTAGATATATATATATATGCACCCATGCCCCCAAACAACGTAGCTGTGGCCACACAGCTTTCCCTTCCCCCTCTAATACACCTACCCTCCAACACAGGTGCCCAGCCATGGCCACACCATTAACCCCTTCTTCACAAATAAACACACGCTGTGCACCCTGGACAATACAGCTGACACCTGTGGCCACATCACTACTTCCTTTCACCCTTCCCTACACATGCATTGATTGTGTCCCACCGCCCAGCACAGCTGCTCAGCTGTAGCTACGCTATTTCATTCCACACACAGCCATTCCCAAAAAGACCCCTCCAGGTTCTATAAACGTTTAGATAATAGATCATAGCTGGGGGTGGAGAGCAGGAAGGGGTCTTAGAAGCCTTGTGGTCCAACTCCTTCATTTTGCAGATGACGAAACTGAGGCTGCGAAAGGTTAAGTGACTTCCTGAGGGTCACACAGGTAGAAAGCATCCGAGGCAGAACATGAACCCAGGTCCTTTGGCTCCAAAGACAGTTCTCTTTAGCCTATGCCATGCTGCCATATATACCCCTATTATAGAGTTGCAGTGTGCCTAGCACAGTAAGGGTCTTTGAACTCCTCTCTTCTGTAAGGCTCTCACAGCAAGGGACTCCATTCTCCCACAAACTCTCTCTACTCTCTGCCCTCAACTGTTCGGCCCCGCTCTGGCCCCACCACTAACCCCTCAGAACCCGATAGAAAATATGAGGCCGCCTACAGCTGGCAAAGACTGCCCTAGAGCCCTCCCTCCAGTAAGGCCTACCAGTAAGCACCTCTTCTGCTCCACTTACTACCCGTCCCTACCCCCCACACAAACACAGTTGTGTCAAGGGGGTCACTTTCCCCCCGGCTCAGCCTGGCTTGTCTCCCCTCCCAGATCCCCCAAACCCAACCATTCCAAAGTTCCACCGTCTATCATTCATACAAAGCCCTTTATGGAGACAGATCGCAGCATAGAGAGAGACAAATTAAGAGGTGTAATAGGCAAGAGGGAAAATATCTGCTTTCAGCTTCAATTTAAAATGAAATGCAGTGTTGATGAGACAGATACTGCAGGAAGCTGCTGCTCCAGACCGTTAGAGATGCAGAAAAAAGGAGGAAGCCTGTCCAGTTTACAAATTGACTTCCTCCAGGAAGGCCCCTCTGATGCACTGAAGGACAAGGAAATCTCCACCCTGCCCTGCTCCACTGAAGCCAGAAGGGATCAGATTGACCCTGCCCTGGCAGATCAGGTATTTAAAATGAGAGCAGAACTTGGCTAGAGGACTGCATGAATATACGCATCTCATCCTCCCAATGGCACATGCTGGGGAGAGGTTTATGTCTTTCTCCCATGCCTGATCTTCACAGCCAGTGTCCTAGCAACATATTTTATACAAACTAGCAAGATGAGACTGTCACTAGGTCCAGCGATGGGGCAGGGATCAGGGACCAGCAACCAGAGAAGGATGCCCTGAAGGAAGCCAGGCTGAGAACCTGGAGAGTACAAAATAGGTAGAGGGTTGGGGGTGGGGTGGGAATAATGGTTTGAAGCTGAATCCTCAATCCATTTATTTCCCAGAGCAAGGCAAGATTACAGGTCTACTCAGTGATATGTTGGATATAAAGGTCATATCCACAGCCTTAGCCTCAGATTTGCAGTTTCTTGCTTATTCCATCCACCCTACCCTGGATCCTCCCAGGCCCCTATGGAGGCTCTGTCCCCTGCAATAGCCAGCCTCTGCCAAGAAGCAAGATGGACTGCAAACCCCATCCCTCCATCCGAGCTGGCACTATGTGTGATCAAGGGGTACCAGAATCCAAGTCTCCCGGCCAAGAGATAAGGAGCACCCTGGAGTCTCTTTAATTGGCCCAAAGTCGAGAATTCACGCTGTGTCGCCTGACCCTTCTATAATTAACTGCTGCAACAGCCCTCAGCTGGGAAGTGCTAAATACTCGGCCTCTTGGATCCGAGAACTTGAGCAGCTAAGAGCTCTCTTAGGGGACACTTAACGTCTCCTGACAGTGGCCTGGACTCGTGCGGGTGGAGTAAATAAACAGAAGGAGGGCAGAGAGAAACAGACAGACAGACCCAGAAACTGGCCTGATCCTTGATCCTAATAACAACTCACACAGAAATTTAACACGTGAGGTTGGTAGTACAAATAGCAAGGTTTTCAGAGAGGGAAGAGGTGCAAAGGATCTTGGACTGGGAATAAGGTAAGACCTAGGTTCGAGTGTCCCACAAAGAGAGCAGAGAGGATTACGTGAACAGGTCTGTTTCATCTCAAAGTGTTACACGCAGGGGGAGGGTCTGTTCTGTCTTCCATGCCTTATCTTGACCGTCAGTATCCTAGTGATGTATTGGATATAAACTTGCAAGAGTGGGCTGAAACCGTAGCAATGTTCAGTGGAGGGGGAAGGAACTAGGGACCAAGGAAGGATGCCCTGGGCAAGGATGAGCTTAGGGTCAGAGCATCATGGAGTTAAAGCTAGAAGGGGCCTTTGAGGCTGACTTTATGGATGAGAAACCAGAGGCACAGTGGGGTTAAGTGACTTACCCAGGGGCACACAGCTAGCAAGTGTCTGAGGCAAGATTCAGACTGGGTCTTCCCGATTCCAACTCCATCCCTCTCTCCACTGCATCACCTCAATGCCGCATCTTTAAAAGAGGGATAATAATAACAAGAGCATATCTACCTCCTAGGGTTGTTGTGAGCATCTAACAATGTATATGTATGTTATATATGTGTGTGTATATGTGTATATACATATACATGTATATCACACATATGTATAAATGTGCATGTTTATGTATATAAGTAC